ATCACAACTCACAGCAACCTCAACTCCTGGGCTCAAGCGAGTCTCCTGCCTCTGCCTCCCAAGTAGCTGGGACCACAGGCGCCCACCACAACGCCTGGCTATTGTTTGGTTGCAGCCATCATTGTTGTTTAGTGGGTCCGGGCTGGATTTGAACCCGCTACCTTAGGTGTATGTGGCTGGCGCCTTAGTCCCTTGAGCCACAGGCACCAAGCCAGCTATTATTATTTGAGATGGAGTCTTACTATATTGACCAGGCTGGTCTTTTTTTTTTTTTTTTTAAACTTTTCCTGAGACAAGCTCTCACTCTGTCACCTGGGCTAGAGTGTAATGATATCATAGTTCACTGCAACCTCAAGCTCCTGGGCTCAAGTGATCTTGGCACCTCAGCCTTGCAAATAGCTGGAAATACATGGCTCGGCGCCTGTAGCTCGGCAGTTAGGGCACCAGCCACATGCACCAGGCCTGACAGGTTCAAACCCTGCCCGGGCCAAACAACAACAAAAATATAGCTGAGCATTGTGGCAGGCACCTGTAGTCCCAGCTACTTGGGAGGCTGAGGCAAGAGAATAGCTTAAGCCCAAGAGTTTGAGGTTGCTGTGAGCTGTGATGTCAGAGCACTCTACCGAGGGTGACATAATGAGACCCTGTCTCAAAAAGGAAAAAAAAGTGTGCCTGGGAAAACAGGTACACTTCACTATGCCGAGCTGATATTTTTATTTTTTTGTAGAGATGGTGTCTCACTCTTGCTCAGGCTGGTCTTGAACTCCTGGCCTCAAGCAAACCTCCTGCCTCAGCCTCCCTTAAGCAGTCTTTTATTTTTATTATTTTGGAGACAAAAGTCTCAACCTGTTGTCCTGGGTAGAGTGCTATGGCATCATAGCTCACGGCAGCCTCCAACTGGGGCTCAAGAGATCCTCTTGCCTCAGTATTTTTTTGTTGTTGTTTGTTTTGTAGTAGAGATGGAGTTTCACTCTTGCTCAGGCGGGTCTTGAACTCGTGAGCTTAAGCAATCCACCATCCTCAGCCTCCCAGAGTGCTAGAATTACAGACATGAGCCACCACACTTGGCCTATGTTTTTTAAATCTTTTATGGCCACAAGAGTAGCTAGAGTAGCTCCAGATTTTACTGGTTAGAATAAAGAACCAAAAACAACAAAATAATATTTACCAGTCTCAATGTTAACTTCTTCAGCTAAGGTTTAGGCTCGTAGTACAGAGCCTGACCTACTTTTGTGGGCTGTGGTTCCAGTAATAGTTTCATTTTGGAGTCTTTGTAATGCTTTTCTAGGCTTCATTTGCCCATGTGTTACCCAGAGGCCAATCTAGAAACCTGGGCAGTATTCCACACAGATGTTTTGCTATGTTAATTCTGGTCTGTTTCACACAAGTTGCCAGGGCATCTGTGCAGTATTTGCTATTCAAATTTAAAGAATAACCTTTTCTAGCTCCTTTCTGAAATCATACAACTCTGGTTGAGGACAGGAACACCACTAGGGTGGGGTGGCCAGCTGGAGGGGCAAGACTGAATCCAGGGGGCGGTGCCGGCCCCGTACACTGGAGGTGGCATGTTAAAACCCAGCCCCAGCCAAAGAAAAAGAGAAAGACTGAATCCAGGTTCCATACATAGTTCCCAGTCTCTGCTGACACTACCCCAGCTACCATATTGAGAGCAGAAATTTGGACTTCCCACTCTCATCTACAGTAGGATTTAAAAGAATATCTTTTTTTTTTCTTTTTTTGAGACAGTCCCAAGCTGTCGCCCTGGATAGAGTGCTGTGGCATCACAGCTCACAGCAACCTCAAACTCTTGGGCTTAAGCGATTCTCTTGCCTCAGCCTCCCAAGTAGCTGGGACCACAGGCGCCCACCACAGAGCCCAGCTATTTTTTAGTTGTAGTTGTTGTTTGGCAGGCCCAGGCTGGATTTGAACCTGCCAGCTCCATGGTACATGGCTGGCGCCCTAGCCACTAAGCTTCAGACACTGAGCCAAGAAAAGATATCTTGATATAATTAGGCTACTTAGAGGGCTCAGTAGTTAATATTTGTGGGGACATAAAAGTCAAAGGCAGTAGAGTAGTGGTTCAGTCACAGGCTCTGTGATGTTAAAGTAGAAACCGAGTGCAAACACAACTCCTCCCTGGCCATCACTCAATAGGATAAAGCCAGTGCCCAGCATCAACCACTGAAGTCACTGGAGCGCAGGGACATCGCAGTCTTCTCTCCAGTGAGGAATGATTTTAGGAGCCAGAGAAGACCAAAGGTGGCAAAGACCCAAGGAATTCTCAAAGGCAAGATGTTCATACTTTACATTGTCCTTTGGATACCCACTTGCCTGCACCATGGCTGACTCCATCCATTGGGGAAGATGACCCAGTAAGAAGTTGCTTAAACCCATCTACTCAGGAATAGGCAGCCCACCTCATGAGAAGTGAGCACTCCTCCTGCAGGTTCCCTGCAGCTCCAGGGTTAGTACTGTCACAGATCCCTTCAGGTACAGTCAGGGGACCATGAGTTCACAGATATTTTCTAGGGCAGTGCATCTAAGTCTGGAAATAAGACACGTTTACCCACCAGGACTCCACCCCTGCACTGGCTGCTGTCCTCTGCAGTATGGACTTCGTTTGCCCATCTGGGCCAGAAGGTCTGCCAGGAGTGCATCACTTCTTGGTGTCAACTAGGGCATCTTCAGTTTCCAGACAGAATATCTACAATTTGCTTTGTACAGCCCTGTCGCTTGCTTGCGAAGGGTGTAGACATTGTCCTGGGTAGGTGTAGAAGATAACTCAGCAAGTATGTTTGAAGGTTCTGCAATACAATTGGATTTGTGTGGTATTCAGTTCTTCAGAGTGAAAGCATGAATAATGACCATGTGGCCATTTGTCCTGGAAACTATAGAAGGGGTTACGGATTAAATAAATCACTGAAAAGAGAACACATCTTGGAGGCTTTCCTCAGAACTGTACTAGAACCAAGGTTTCCAGGTCAGTAGACCAAGCCAACTTCTTTAGATTTTTTTTTTTACTTGTTTTCAGAGAACTGGGTGGTAGCATGTTTGAACCAAATGTAGTCAAAGCCAGAAGGACCTGGACTGTTCCAGCATGGGCCATATGGCCAGCTGTCTGCGAAGAGTTCTGCTTGGATATGGTGGGGACCACACGGGCAGCTCAGGCCTTTGAACTCTTTTGAGTGTCTGTAGTTCCTGTGAAACCAAATTGTTGACTACCTGCTTCTTTGCCCACAGGCATTAACACACTCATGTCCAAAGATGATGGTGCAGGTGACCTTTTCCATCAAGCACCAGGAAGGTAGGAGGCCAGAGGGGCGGGCCTGGTGTCCCCTACCTTCTGCTCCACAGCTCCAGAGATGGACCTTCCCCTGCAGACCCCATCTGGTCAGGCCTACAACTGCCCCATGTACACTCATTGATGCTTATACCAAATAGAGCAGGTGCAGCTGGTGTCTGTCAGGGACAGCCCGGTCGCTGCCTTGGAGTGGGCAGAGAGAAGCAACAAAAAGCATTAAATGAATGGTGAAAAGACTGTTCAGCTAAGAGGCCTTCGGTCCACTTACGTGGCTTTCCAAGTTCCCGGTGAGGTGTGATGAGGTTACAAAGGCTGCGCTCCCAAAAGAAAGCTAATAATGTAAATAATTTAAAAATTAAGCCTCTAAGCGTCGTTTTTAAAGGGGGATGATGAATGTGAAACCACCCACAGGATGTGTTAGTCTGGTTTTTCTGTGCTTTGTCATTTTACTCTGATAGGAACCTTTGTTACTTAACTCTGTGCATAACTTATTTCATGTACTGTATAAATGAACCAAAACTGTTAAATATGTATTTAGTTTGTTCTACTTAAAGTAGTCAATAAAAAGGCTATATTCCTTTTCTGACTCAAGCTGGAATGAAACTGGGTGGGAAGGTGCAAACACTATGAGGTGACCTGCCACCAGCTTTGGCAGTTCTTATATCTTAGGGAACAGGGACTTCCACCTGACTCTGTTAACGTCCTAAAGAAAGCTGGAGGTGCTGCTGAGGAGATGCTTCTGGTCCATGCCTGGGAGCAGGGGGTGGCCCCAACTGTTTTAGCTACTGAGTCCACCCAGTAGCCTAGAGTCAGGTGCCAGCAACAACTTACAGAGACTACCAGTTAAAAAGACTAGTTAAGACTAGTTAGCTAGTTAAGTAGCTAACAGATTGCTACTGTTAAGAAGAAAGGCTCGGCGCCTGTAGCTCAGCAGTTGGGGCACCAGTCACGTAGCACCAGGGCTGGAGGGTTCAAACATGGCCTGGGCCTGCCAAACAAC